AAAGAGAGGTCATTTAAGGGAGATGTTACAGTAGCTCATTAACGTTGTATAAAGAAATTCATGAGGCCAGGGTGCTGGTGGCTCACGTCTGTCATCCTAGCTACACAGGAGGCTGAGATGTGAGGATCATGGTTCAAAGCCAGCCCAGGCAAGAAAGTCCATGAGACTCTTATCTCCAGTGAACCACCAGAAAACCTTAAGTGGCGCTGTGGTTCAAATGGTAGAGTGCTCGTCTTGAACTGAAGAGCTCAGAGACAGTGCCCAGGCACAGAGTTCAGGCCCACAACAGAAAATAAAAAAGAAAAGAAAAGGAAAGAAATTCATGAATTATGCCAACAGCCTCTGATAGCCAGGGACCTGTTCCTGAAACAGATAAAATTTAAGACCAGAATGTTGTATAACTTGAGGAAGCAGATTGTTCTCAGGAAGTGAAAATTCACCCGATACCTTGGGTAGTACAAACTAAGGTGCCGCTTAGCTGAATAAGCATTAAATGGTGTGAGACCTAATTGTAATCGAAACAATTTTTTGTTATTTTAGTCTGGAGATAAATAATGAGGGAGGATATCAACATAGTCAAACCCTATTTATGTATGTATGTAGGATAAAAATAATGAGGAAGAATGTTCTAGGCAGGAATATGGAAAGAAAGAATGGGAAAGCTACCTAATTAACAGTTAACATGTTTGCCTAATGAGAGAGAAAAACCAGTGTTTTTTTCATTGTAATCTTCAGCCATTGAAAGCTTTCAGGTCAGATTTTTGGATGAGCTAAGAATTACACAACTCAGAAAAAAAAATTAAGCCACATGTTAGGACACATAAGCCCAACTCTTGTACATGTTGCAAAAAGCTGTCACAATGCCTTGAAATGAATGGAAAAAAGCCAAATTGCAGGAATAAGAGACAGTGGTAAGCTGATTTGGGGCTTTCTGAAGTTTTGCATTTTCTAGAACTAGAAGACTAATCGAATGATGACATTGATGAGAATCCTCAGTGTTTTTAACGAGCTAACACTTGATTCAGTCACAAATATTGAGATGAGGCCATTATTTAATATTTGGTAACTTGATGAATATTGTAAACATCTGGATGATTTCTTTATAAAGCTTTTTGAAGGAAAGAATCTTACACACCTTATGAACATAGTAATAATACTATTTACTATTACTGTTACTTGATCGTCTTTTGCACTATTTTTATTACTTTCACTTACACATGCATATCTAAAATTTCTTAGACAGTTTTAACTGTTTGATAATAGTATTTGACTAATGCCACCCTGCAACAATAAAATTTTCAAAAAAAAATATATATATAGCCTGGCGCCATTGGCTCATGCCAATAATCCTAGCACTCAGGAGGCTGAGATCTGAGGATTGCTGTTCAAAGCCAGACTGGCCAGGAAAGTCCATGAAACTCTTATCTCCAATAAACCACTCAGAAAACCAGAAGTGGTGCTGTGGCTCAACTGGTAGAGTGCTAGCCTTGAGCCGAAGAGCTGAGGGACAGCACCCAGGCCCAGAGTTTAAGTCCCACGACTGACCAAAAAAAAAATAATAATAATAATAATAAATAAAAATATATATATACACACATAGATATGTATATGTATTATGGATATGTTATATATGTGTATATCCATATAATCACTTCAGAAAAGTAACTAAGGTAGTCTTCTGCCAAAAAACAAATGATTTTCAACTCTTAAAGTACAAATTTCTTTGTTGATTACCATTTGAGCATGAAAGTTTCTGCTTTCTTCCATGTTTTGACCAGCAATACCTAGAGAATTCTTAATCTTTGCTTTCTTCCAGTGAAGAAATAAAACCCATTCTGAAGCAGTAGTTTCATGTTTCAAATTCAGTCTGTTCTTTTTTTTTTTTTTATCAAGTATTAAATAGCAACAACTGGAAGTGTTCTACACATTCTTTTCCCCTGGTTTGTAGAGAAACTGCTTTGTGTGGATCAATACCTCACATGGTGAAATTACAAGTTAGCGTTATCTGGGAAGTTGCTATTTTTAGGGCCTGCTGTCATGCTTCTAACTTTGGTACTAGGAGTAGTGGGTGCTTCTTTTCCCAGAAGGCTCTGTATTCCTAACATGTGCAGGTCAATTTCACATAAAGCTGCCCACAGGGAGCAACAAGGCCCTTTGGCAGGCTGTGTGTTTGGAATTTCAAAATTATGAGCAAGAATTGGGAGCCACAGGCTGTCTCTGGGAACCAGCTGCATGTCAGAAGGAGCATTGATTGTGGCCCCTGTGGATTGTGGCTGGGAGAACACAATGCTTGAATTTAATCTCTTTGGGAGATAAGAAGAAGAAAAAAAAGTGCCTTTCTACCTGACGAGATTGACAGTTTATTAAATCTATCTTCAGAAGTGTGCTGGGGCAGTTGCGAAGTCAACGCTCACTTTTCAAAGATGATGATCAAGGAGACATCTTTACGAAGGGACCCGGATTTAAGGGGCGAGTTAGCTTTCCTGGCAAGGGGCTGTGATTTTGTTCTCCCGTCCCGGTTTAAGAAGCGGCTGAAGTCATTTCAGCAGACACAGGTTTGAAGCTTGGGGTGTTTTGTTGTTGGTTGGTTATGGTTTTTTAAAGTATTTTTTTTATTACTAATGAAGCCACCCACTGAACTAACAGTTTATAACTGGTATCTTGATATTGGATCAAGGAATTAATCTGTGCCCTCTATTCAAGCTATTTGCAGAAAGTTATTTGTAGAGAGATTCCGACAGGTTTAAAAATAGACCTGGACCTGGAGCACACAGAAAGGGAATCCAGTTCTAAAGACAATAAATACAACTTATCAAATGTTTTACAGTTTAGCCAGAAAAGTACTAAACAAACTAGAATCTCTAGATTAAAACCCTTATTTGGACAGAATCAGGATTAACACTTGTAGAAAATATGTGTTAAAGAATCTTGATATGTTTAAATAGTGATTTTTTTTAAACAGAACTTTGTATATAGGCAATTGTGTAGGTGTATAGTGTGCTGTATAGCTGCAGATAATTAGGAATGGCAATTTCTTCTGAATTGTGGAAAATGTTTTCCCTAAGCAAGCTGTGACATGATTTCTACTTTGTGGTGACTTCTTTGCTGTCTCTACTTTCTTGCTTACAACTTAAGAGCCAGTGTCTGCTTACCATGCAAGTTGTCCAGCACAGAGTACAATACAAATCAAAAGCCACACAAATAAATGGTAGCTCTCTGAAATCCCCCAAGAAGCTATTGTTTCATAATTATTGTAACCCAGAGTAATTTCAGATTATGTGGATGAACCATGGAGACTCTGTTTTCCTTTTCCTTTTTGTAAGAAAGAATTGATGATCAAGTATTAAAAACATTACAGTGCCATAGTGATATAAAACCTAGTAGTATTCCTAATGTATATGGAAACACTGCTCTGATTTAGGGAAAGACCAAAGGGGACAGTTGGGATACTTACAGAGCTTATTATTGTTTGATACTGTTTCTGTATTGGACTGCAACTTTAGTCAAAGTGAGCAGAGAGCAAGCTTGCCAATCTGGTAAATTTTATATGACTAAGGTTTTATCATCTTTGGAAAGGGTCTACTTTGTCATGGTACCTTAAGGTTTGACTTACACATTTCCTATTTTATTCAACGAGAGTTAAGGTAATGTAAGTGAAACTTGAAAATAAACACATCATTTTAATAGGTTCCTTTAGAATATTACTCTGTTTTATTAAATATGTAGTTAACCAGTGAATACTTGCCTATCAGCCAATTATTGTTAAGAAGTGCACACATACACACACAAAAGCAGAATAGAACGGCATGTAATCAGATGTTTTTCTCATGTGAAAGCATTGACAGGTAGCCCGTGTTTGTTCTGAATGTCACCCACTTCTGTCAGAGCAAAAGCAGAGTTAACATCAAAGGTCTTGCTCTAAACCCTGCCAGCTAATACTTGTTCAGCCACACTGGCTCCAGTGGTCTTGGCTCTGATTGCTCTCAGATTATCCCTAGCTCAGCAGTCTTTCAGAAGAAAGATCTGCGCCTTTTTAGAATTCCAAGCCAGGTTTGCTAGCATTATGTCTGGAATCTCAGCACTTGTCGACTGAGACAGGAAGATCACAAGTTTAAGGCCAGCCTGCATTACAGAGTGAACTCAAGACCAGCTTGAGAGCTGAGAAAGGTGGCTCAGTGGTAGAGTGCTTGCCTTGCATGCAGGAGGCCCTGGGTTCAATTCCTCAGCACCACATAAGCAAAAAAAGCCAGAACTGGTGCTGTGACCCAAGTGATAGAGCGCTAGCCTTGAGCTGAAGAGCTGAGGGATAGTGTCCAGGCCCAGAGTTCAGGTCCCACGACCAAAAACAAAGACCAGTTTGAGCTTCACAGCAAATTGAAGTCCAGCCTGGACTTTACAGGAGATCAGATTAGATAGATAGAGAGAGAGAGAGAGAGAGAGAGAAACACACACACACACCCAAAACCTAAATAATTACAATAATGAGCTAGGTGGTTAGTCTCATTCCTAAAATCCTGGTACTCAGAAGACTGAGGCAGGAAGAACAAAAGTCAAAGTATAGTGAGGGCCTGTCTCAAAAAAAAAAAGAAAAGAAAAAGAATTTGCTTCTTTTTCTGCCAATTGAAGATGTAAGGATGCACAGAAAACCTAAGAACCGTTTCAAAAAGAATTTACTAGTCTAGTTCTCGCAGACTGCACCTTCAGATCTGTATTTTGCGAGGCCTGCCAAAGGATGGGTGGGAATGTACCGCTGGATTTTTAAAGCAGAAGTCCCTGTAAGCTTGAGGATGAACGCGTCATTTATATACTGATCTATTTAATATGGAAAAAATCCCCTAAAAACATGCCGCCCTGTAGACTACACAGATCTCCTGACCTCTAGTGCGTCTTAATGTGTGGTTTCTGTATTTATACATGACTTCCCATTACGGGTGAGGCTTCTTAAGAAATATATATACAGTTTAGAATTGGTGTATCTTAGAATCACATTTCTTTTCCAGATTCAAAATAAACCAGAAAAGAAACCTGGGACACCACTTCCACCTCCAGCAGCCCTCCCAAGTAGTCCCCAACCTGACTCTCTGGCCCCTCATGCGAATAATGCTGTGAACGCACCATTGTCCATAAACATTCCACGCTTCTACTTTCCGGAAGGACTCCCAGATACCTGCAGTAACCACGAACAGACGCTGAGCAGAATCGAAAATGCTTTCATGGATATTGAAGATCAGAAAGCAGACATTTATGAAATGGGGAAAATTGCAAAGGTAATAGAAGTACTCAAGTGATTTCCTAATTTCCTTCCCCTAGCAGCTCCAACATTCCTTTCTTCTCTGACTTTCTCTCCATGTTTAAGCATACATACATTCCTCTATCCCCCCTTCCCCACCCCACCCACCATATTGAAAAACATCAATTCTGTGTTCTGCTTCATAGAACTCTGTTGTCTTTTGTCTGTCTGTCTTAGTTTTTTGTTTTTGTTTTTTGTTAGTTCTGGGTCTTGAACTCTAGGCCTGAGCTGTCCCTCAGCTCTTGAGCTCAAGGCTAGCACTCTACCACTTGAGCCACAGTGCTGCTTCTGGTTTTCTGGTGGTTAATTGGAGATTAGTCTCATGGACTTTTGTGCCTGGGCTGGCTTTGAACCACAATCCTCAGATCTCAACCTCCTGAGTAGCTAGAATGACAGACATGAGCTACCAGTGCCCGGCTTGGTTGGTTTTTTTTTTTTTTTGCCAGTCCTGGAGGTCTTGACTCAGGGCCAGGGCTCTGTCCCTGAGCTTTTGTGCTCAGAGCTGGTGCTCTACCACTTTGAGCCATAGCTCCATTTTTTCTGTGATTAATTGAAGATAAAAGTCACGGGGCCAGGCACCAATGGCTCACGCCTGTAATCCTAGCTACTCAGGAGGCTGAGATTTGAGGATCATAGTTCAAAGCCAGCCCAGGCAGGAAAGTCTGTGAGACTCTTATCTCCAATAAACCATTCAGAAAACTGGAAGTGGTGCTGTGGCTCAAATGGTAGAACACTAGCCTTGAGCCAAAGAACTGAGGGACAGCGCTCAGGCCCAGAGTTCAAGCTCCACGACTGACAAAAAAAACTAGCTGGCTTTGAACCATGATCCTCAAATCTCAGTCTCCTGAATTGCTAGTGAGCCACCAGACACCCAGCTTTGTTTATTTACTTTTTTTTTTAACCATCCACTGGACTCCAATGTTACTACTTGCTTATTAATCTTTAGAATTGAGTTTGTTTCTAAAGAAAAGCATGCTTTCTCTCAGGAGATCAGAGCTTAACCTGTCTGTTTTATTTGTGAGAAAACTACAGCCCTAGAAGTAGCTAAGCTCACAAAACTAAAGTACAGATCCTCTCCCAGGACACTGAACCTTTGTCGTCCTTGTCCCCCCCCCAGGTCTCTGAGAGAATGCTTGTTGTATTAGAGAACAGAACCAAAATGGTTCTCTCTGAATGGGCTGTGAACAATGGGATCTACATACAAAAAATACAAACGGATCAAGGATAAGTAAAATCTGTATTCAGAGGTAACCTATTAAAACTCTGGAGACAAAGAGAACCTCTGGTTATTGAGCCATTACAGATGTAGATGCTAGCCAAAAAGAAAAAGAACAGAAAAAAATCTGTCTGGTGACAAGCTCAAGCAGCTTCCAGCAGTGGGCTGGAAGACATCTGCCAGACCAGAGCTAAGAGCATTTTTGCGAACCTAGAGAAGGAAAGCACTATAACTCACAGTGGCTTTATGTCAGAAGAGTAGGATAACATACAGCAGAGCTAGAGTGAGCCGAGGAAAGCAGTCCTAAAGAAAATAAGTCCTGCCAGTGGCTCACATCTGTCATCCTAGCTACTCAGGAGGCTGAGATCTGAGGATTGTGGTTCAAAGCCAGCCCAGGCACGGAAGGCTGTGTCTCTTTATCGCCAATAAACCACCAGAAAACCGGAAGTGGCGTTGTGGCTCAAGGGGTAGAGCGCTCACCTTGAGCTGAAGAGCTGAGGGACAGCGCCCAGGCCCAGAGTTCAAGCCCAATGACCAACCAAAAAAAGAAAAAAGAAAATCAGTCCTTGCTTCTGGATTGGTAAGGGTTAATCGTGGGGACAGTTTATGTATACACTAGGGCTTGCTTGTTTCGCCCAACCTACACCTGAAATTTTCTGCATAAATACCAAAAGGCCATTCATTCTAGCTCAGGAAGCATTTGTGAGGAAGACAACTCTCAGGGGCTGCTTCAGGTAAGCAGATGGGGGAGGAGCTGTTCTGATGAAGTGTGAGGCACAGAAGTTCCCCGGATGGAGCTGGGTTCACTGTCTGGGGGAATCAGTGCTACTACAGCCCACCCTTGTCTTGAACCTAGGGACATGGGGACCCTCTTACCTCTACTCCCACCCCTGTTGTATACATCTTGCTGCTCTTGAGTTCCCCACCCCTGTGGGAAAGTGGCCCTGCCCTGGCTCCATGCCTCAGGGGCCCACCAGCGCTCCACACATTCAGTGAGAGGAAAGGCCTAATGGCCGTGGGATGGCCAGTGGAGGCGTGGAAGGAATGTAGGCACGGAAGGGAGGGAACCCTAGGGTGGTGGGAAAACAATTATACACAGAGAAGATGGGTCCGGATGGGGCGTCAGGGAAAAGTACCAGTGCTAAAGCCAACAATGTGGAAACGCTTAAAAAATAGAAAACTATTTCCCTTAGCCAAGTGAATTGACTCAGTAATTTATGGTTTATATCTAATGACCCTGTGGCACAATAACCATTTCATATGTATATGACTGATTAACTTGATTACAGCCCTACATTCCATTCTTGGGAGCCAAGCCTCTCCCGTCATTGCTCTTACACCTTAATTGCTAGCCGAAGTGGCGCGATAAGCTGTCCATACCTAGTTGTAACTAGCATTACATATAAGCATGTGTACTGACCTTAAAAAAAAGTTGTCATGAGCCAGGCGTTGGGGAGTGGCTCATGCCTGTGATTTTAGCTACTCAAGAGACTGAGATCCAGGTCACAGTTCAAAGCAAGCCCAGACACAAAAGTGAGCATGACTTCATCTCCAATTAACCAACAAAAAGCCAGGCTGGAGACATGGCTCAAGTAGTAAGAGTACCAGCTGAGCAAACAAGCCTCACAAGTGTCAGACTCTGAGTTCAGCCTCTTGATACCAGCCAAATAAAAAATAAAAAATTGGCAAGAGCTGGGCATGGTGGGTACAAGCAGAGACAGAATCAGCCTAGACTATGCAGTGACATCCTGTCTCCAAAAAAGAAAGAAAAAATATATATACATACATATATATTTTATGATGGTTTATGTTGTTTTGAGCTTTTGGAGTTGTTGCTGTTGTTTCTCTTTTTGGTCAGTCATGGGACTTAAACTCTGGGCCTGGGCAGTGTCCATCACCAGCTCGCTCTTCAGCTCAAGACGAGGGCTCTATCACTTGAGCTACAGTGCCACTTTCTATTTATGTGGTGCTGAGGAATCATACCCAGGGTCACATGCATGCAGGGCAAGCATTCTGCCACTGAACTACCTTCCCAGCCCCTTGTTGTTTCTTTTGTGTATGAGTGTGTGTGTGTGTGTGTTTTAGTTTCGTTTATTTTTTCTACCAGTCCTGGAGCTTGGACTCTAGGCCTGAGCGCTGTTCCTCAGTATTTTTACTCAAGGTTAATACTCTATCACTTGAGCCACAGCTCCAATTATTCCAGCTTGTTTGGTGCTTAATTGAAGTTAAGAGTCTCATGGACTTTGCCTGCCCAGGCTGACTTCAAACCTCAATCCTCAGATCTCAGCCTCCCAAGTAGCTAGGATGACAGGCGTGAGCCACCGGCACCTGGTGTGTGTTAGTTTTTTGAGGTACTGCCTTGATTTATAGCTCAAGCTAGCCCCAAACTCACAGCCCTCCTGCCAGAATCTCCTAAATGCTGGGATTGCAGACATGCATCACCAGCTTCTTGTTGCTTTGTTTTTGATTACTGGACTGACTCATTTTACTAGGTTTTGCCTCTTTACTCTTAAAACCACTTATTTTAAATATTGATTTCCTTGTGTCTGTTAGCCAGTTCTCATTTGCTTAGCTTGGAGCTACTGTTGGCACTCACTGTCTTTATTTTTGGTCCTTGTTTACTCTGTGTCTTACCTGCCATGGGCAGAGAGAACTCCACAGCTTTCACAACACAGCCTTACAGCAGGTTGGTGTTGGAAAGAGAAGAGGCAGCCTGCAAGGGAGGAGGAGAGAGAGAGCTCTCCAGAGCAATTAATGGGTGTGTTTATGTATTGTTGTCATTTAGAGAGCTGTTTGGAAGGCCAGCTAGAGTTTGCAACCTCTGAGTAGCACTTAAGTATAGCTATAAAGACTGGGATCTGTTTTGTAGTGTGGAGAACACTCTGTTTATGAAAACTACATCTGTGGATGAGGTTTCACCCGTTCATCTTAGAACCCAGACAGCCCTGGAGAGCTTACTGTCCGTGTCCAGTTGAATTCTTAGGGTGTACTTCGTACTCTGCCCACAACTTTAAGATAGGAAAGAAATGGACTGAGGATGAGCCTAATAAGATGAAAGCAAGATAAGAACAGAGACTGAGCAAGAGACAAGTGTTAGTGAGAAACTAGGCCACAATTTTGTCCTCTAGTAGGAAGTTGAAGAAAACCCTTCTGAACCTCATAAAGAAAGCCTTCTAGGTCCTCTTTTCTGGTTATCGTTCATAAGGCAGCATCTCTGAACTTGAATTTCTCCTTCTGCAAAATGAAACACCTGAGGCCTATACTCCTAGCTACTCGGGAGGCTGAGATCTGAGGATCTTGGATCTAAGCCAGCCCCGACAGGAAAGTTCATGAGACTCTTATCTCTAATTAAGCACTAAAAACTGGAAGAGGTCTGGGAATATGGCTGAGTAGTAGAGTGCTTGCTTAGCATTCATGAAGCTCTGGGTTTGATTCCTTAGTACCATATCCACAGAAAAAGCTGGAAGTGGCTCTGTGGCTCAAGTGGTAGAGTGCTAGCCTTGAGCAAAAAGAAGCTCAGGGTTGGTGCCCAGGCTCTAAATTTACAAGCCCCAAGACTGGCAAAAAAAAAAAGAATTAAAGAATGCTCTAATTGGGCCGGGAATGTGGCTTAGTGGTAGAGTGCTTGTCTAGCATGAATGAAGCCCTGTGTTTGATTCCTTAGTATCACATAAACAGAAAAAGACAGAAGTGGTGCTGTGGCTCAAGTGGTAGAGCACTGGCCTTAAGTACAAAGAGGCTCAGGCTCAGGGACAGAGCCCAGACCCTGAATTCAAGCCCCAGGACCAGCAAAAAGAAAAAGAAAAAAAGAATACTTTAATTGAAAAGAAGAGCCTTTTATTAAAGAAAAAATTATATTTTTTAGAATATTGAAGTGTTTTAATATTAATTCCCAGTTATTCCTAAAGCTTTTATAATATATAATTATTTGTGCTAGCTTCTAATATATAAGGAAATGGTGGCATTTCAGTTTTTCCGTTCCCTATTCCCTGAAATCTAACATAGCTGTTTTCTGGAACAGCCTAGCGTTTTTCTGGTTCTTTTTGAATCTGGAACTTAATAGCATTCTAGGCACAGAAGAAAGGAGGAGATAAGTAATGGGTGCTAACACCAATTGATGCAGTAATAAAGTGACTGCATTTTTTTTCTGCTCAAGAATTGAAGGACAAATACAACTAGGGTAGTCATATCTTTTTCTTTCTTAAGCATAGAGACTACCTAATATAAGCATGGAGGGACAGGAACTAGTTTCCTAGTTACTCAGAATGGGAGGGGGGTTACTATAAGTAACCTTGGAATAATGATACATAGTGTCCCATTTTCTTTTTTTCTTTTGGTTCAGTCGTGGGGCCTGAACTCTGGGCTGGGCGCTGTCCCTCAGCTCTTCAGCTCAAGGCTAGCGCTCTACCACTTGAGCCACAGTGCCACTTCTGGCTTTTTTCTTTTTTGCTTATGTGGTGCTGAGGAATCGAACCCAGGGCCTCAGGCATGCAAGGCAAGCGCTCTACCACTTGAGCCACAGCACCACTTCCGGCTTTTTCTGCTTATGTGGTGCTGAGGAATCGAACCCAGGGCCTCATGCATGCAAGCAAGGCAAGCACTCTACCACTGAGCCACCTTCCCAGCCCCCCCACCCCCGTTTTCTTCACTAAACATTTTCCCTGTGCCTTTTCCTGAATCTACCTAGATGCTTGTCTGTGTCCCCTGGACCATTCCCACAGGATCCTTCTGTCCACTGTGGCTTCGGGGTAAAAGCCACAAAGGCTTTTTTGGGGGGTCGTAGGGTTTGAACTCTGGGCCTGGGCACTGTCCCTGAGCTCTTCAGGTAAAGGTGAGTGGCCCTACCATTTGAACCACAGTGCCACTTCTGGTTTTTGGTGATTCATTGGAGATGAAGTCTCACGGACTTTCTTGCCCAGGCTGGCTTTGAACCACAATCCTCCAATCTCTGCCTCCTGCGTAGGTAGGATGACAGGCGTGAGCCACTTGCTCCTGGCTTGTTGTTGTTTTTATTTTGCTGATTGTTTTTTTCTTTCTTTTTATCTTTTAAGTAGTTGTACAAAGAGGTTTCAGTTCAACATGTCAGTATATTATTAAAATGCATCCTAATCCATGTCATCTCTTTAACAATTTACCCCCCTTCTCTCTCACAACCCCACCCATCCTTGTTGTTGTTTTTTTAATTATCTTTTTTCTTAAGCTTTCATTAAGATTTCATTGTTATATTTCCACAGGTTAACAATCCATCCTAATCAATCTCACCCCCTCCATCACTTTCCCCTTTCCACCCTTCCAAAAACGGGTTTCCTTGTTCAGTTTGCATAGTACCAAACAACTGCTTCAGTCATATCATCCTCACCTACAATGTGTTTCCAACATCTTCACCCCACGTTATCTACATTGTTTTCATTTGCAGGTCTGTGGCTGTCCTCTCTACTGGAAAGCCCCCATGTTCAGGGCCGCGGGGGGAGAGAAGACAGGATTTGTGTCCGCACAGTCATTCATTGCTGTGTGGAAAACGTAAGTGTGTGAGCAGTGCGAGGACTACCAATCAGGTGGGCGTCATGACAAGCCTCACAGAGGTCAATTATTTGATTCATTTTTTTTCAGTGTCTCCATTTTTACTTACTTAATTTTTTTGTTGGTCATGGGACTTGAACTCTGGGTCTGAGCACTGTCCCTGAGCTCTTTTGTTCAAGGCTAGCACTGTACCACTTTGAGCCACAGCGCCACTTCGGGCAGTCAGGTGCTTCATTGGAGATAAGAATCTCACGGACTTTCCTGCCCAGGCTGGTTTGGAACCGTAATCCTCAGATCTCAGCCTCCTGAGTAGCTAGGATGACAGGCGTGACCCCTTTATTTCAGTTTAAAAAAAAAATGCTGTGATTCATTCTCCTTTCCTCCTCCCCCAAGTTCTTTGCCAGAATGGTTCTCTTACATGTTGCTTAATAGTAAAGCAGACCTGTAGATGTACTTCTTAGTAACTATCTGATGGTTTCCTAGTTTTGTTGTTTTGGTTTATTTTTCTGGTACAGTTTCTTAGTTTTATTTGTTAAATTGGGGAGCAAGATCCAAGTCTGATAGCAGTGACACAGGAGTAAATGCTTTTCCTCTAAGGAGAACAGAAATTAGTTTCTATTCACACATGATCCAATCTAGGATTACATATAGTTGATAAAATACTTAAGCTCTCTACTAGCTTTAACAGTTACTTTGGAGTAATTCAGTTAAGGGACAAAGGACTTGTGTGTTTATCCAGAGACTCTTGTTGTTGTTGTTGTTGTTGTTGGTCATAGGCCTTGAACTCTGGGCCTGGGCGCTGTCCCTTAGCTCTTCAGCTCAAGGCTAGCGCTCTACCACTTGAGCCACTGTGCCATTTCCGGTTTTCTGAGTGATTTATTTGAGAGTCTCATTTATATAAGAGTCTCATGGCCTTTCCTGCCCGGGCTGGCTTTGAACCTCAACCCTCAGATCTCAGCCTCCTGAGTAACTAGGATGAACAGGTGTGAGCCACTAGCACCCAGCTTATTATTGTGTTTTTAACATCTGATAGCTTTCTTATTTTATTTTATTTTATTTTTAGGTCCAGTCGTGAGGCCTGAACTCTGGGCCTGGGCGCTGTCCCTCAGCTCTTCAGCTCAAGGCTAGCACTCTACCACTTGAGCCACAGCGCCATTTCCGGCTTTGTTTTCTTTTTGCTTATGTGGTGCTGAGGAATCAAACCCAGGGCCTCATGCATGCAAGGCAAGCGCTCTACCACTGAGCCACCTTCCCAGCCCTGATAGCTTTTTTTAAAATTCAGGCCCAACTATTCTTTTCTTTTTCCCTGCAACTTTAATGACTGACTGTAATGCTTTGCATACAGATGCAGTGGTGCCGGTGGCTGCTGTGCTTTGCTATTCCTCCAAATGTCAGGCCTGTCTCAGGGCCCTGGCTATCACTTTCTTTAGTATTCAGCCGTTCATTGCAGGTAAATCAAGCTGGATACCAGCTCTCCTGTACGGAGCATCAGTAGTTGTATTTCTTGTCTCTGGCATGAAGGCCTCTTAAGATAGAGCATTTCCTATTCTCTTTCATCTCCCAGGCTGATCACACCTTTCTCTTAAACCTAATTACTAGATGGCTTTTGCCAGCAATGCTGAGCTCCATGAGGAGGACATCCCTTACTCTTGTGACACCCCCCCCCTTTTCCCCACTTTCCAGAGGCCAGCTGAGGCTTTGGTAGATCCTGGGGTCTACCAAGATGAAGAAAAAAAGGGCTGAATTTGAAGTTCTCAAATTCTGCTACTGTTAATATCCTGATTTTTAAAAAATACACCACAGCTGGCTTTGTCACGAGGGAGATGAGAGACAGTCCAGGCAGATCTCCTTACTCTGTAGGCAATAGGCTCTATTTCCTTCCCCCTGTCTCTAAGCTCCCTAAAATACCCAGTGCAAATGTGTATTGTATTGAAGCATGGTCAACTTGCTAAAAAGTGGTCGGAGTGCCCTCTAGTGGGTACTCCTCTTTGAGCTCATAAAGTGCTTCTGTGTGTTTGTGTGCTCTTACTTCTTTGGGGGGGGGAGAGGGGGGCTCTTTGGTGGTTAATTGGAGATAAGTGCGTCATGGTCTGGCTTCCAACCATGATCTTCAGATCTCTACCTGAGTAGCTAGGATTACAGGCATGAGCCACCAGCACCTGTCTGTTTAAAGTACCTTTTAAAAGCCAGAGTGATTTAAAGGATACCAAGCAACTAAGTATAATGGTTCCAGTTACCACACTGACATAAAAAAAAGACAAAAAGACAAGCTTTTTTGACTTTTTTTCCTTCCAAATTGCACCCTTTTCATTAAGCATCTTGGGGTTAAGGGTTTTTTTTTTTTTAATTTTCTTTTTTTTTTTTTT